CAAAGGCGCTGATCTGAGCTTTAAAGGCCCCAGGATCCTTTTGCATTCTACATTGGCATTCTCATAAGCCAAAGACTCAATTGCTATATTTCTTGCTTCCGGATCAGGTATCCCTATTTGTACAGCCTTAGTTAGTCTTTGTAAAAAGCCACTAGAGGGTTCTCTCTGACCCTGTTTGACCCTGATATACGATTCTACTCTCTGATCTGAGTCTTGAACCCTGTCCCAGGCCCTTAGAGCTGCTGTAGCACATATGGATAAAATGTTTTCATCATAAAGAGCTTGTTCCTAAGGATCAGAGTAAAGTCCTTCCCCTAGAATTTGATGTAGAGAAACCTCAATTCCTTTCGCTGATTCTTGTTTTTGTAAAAGTCTGGCCTCTTGTTTGAATAGGCATTTGAAATGCCATAAAGGTCTGTTCTCTAGGACAGCTGACGTGAGCTGGTTCCAATCTTGAGAAGTGGTCCTGCTGCTCAGAGCCCAGGATTTTAACATCTCCCTAACAAAGGATGAATGTAGTCCATAATTCACAATTGCTTGTTTAAATTCTTTCAGATCATTCATACGTATAGGCTCCCATGTATGTTCTTTAATGACTTTAGGGTTTTTGGAGCCGGTTATCTTTCCTGATGTTATTACTGGAAAAGCAGGTATAACTCTATATAGACTGAGAGTTTTTTGAGGTGAATGTTGCCTTTCTACCTTTTGCTCCTGTTCATCAGAGTCTATGATTTCCTTAATCTTAGTAAATCTGCTCACCATTGCCTTCTGTAAGTCCTGAATCTCCTGTCCAGTATTATGCTCCAAAGCCTTCATTAACGATTCTAAGGCATGGAGTTTGTCTGTCAGAGACACCATTTCCTCTTTGGACACAATCCTCATGGCATGTACTGTGCCTTCTTGTATGGAAATCCTGTCAATTAATCTATCATACCCTTTTGATAAAGTCTGATTTTCACATTCAATGGTTATAATCCTCTCAGCTAATGTTTCAGCACTTACAGTCATGGACTGGAGGTTACGAATCATTTTGGTTGTCCCCTCCTCCAGAGCAGTGAAGCTCCCTTCTAAAGAAGCAATATCAGACTGTACCTTCTTGATATTTTGGTCAGTCAACCGAGTCATATCAGACAAAGATCTAGTCTCCTCCTTAAGATCTCCAAACTCTTTTTTGAGGAGGTTGGTATCAGTCTGAATTGTTCTTAAGGTTTTAATCTCTGCCCTCAGCATTGTAGATTAAGTCTGTAAGGACTGTATCTTTCTTATAAAATAACCAAACACCAGAAAAGCGACAGATCCCAGGAATAACAAAGTAAGAGGAATATCAATCAGAGACAGCCTTCAGAATATCCTCCATAGCACAATTTAAAAAACCATTGAAATTTTGGATAGTAATATTTTCTGACATTTTCAATCAAAAGAAATTGTACTTGTATGTATGTATGTATGTATGTATGTATTTTCAACTGAAAAGAAAAATCTTACCTGTAATGACCGTTGCCTGCCAGTAGGAGGTGGGGCGCACCTGAATCCATGTGGCAATGGCGTTGATTCAGGAAGTAAACTCTAGAATATATACACTCAAATCCAGAGGTTAAATTCACAGATCACAAAAGGTCAGAGAGCTTCTAGTGGCCAATAAACAAGGCAGCCTGGCCTACCCCAGTCGGGCTCTCCTGCCCTGCTGCTCTGTCCAACCCGATGCTGCACTGTTGCTAAAGAGGCCTAGTGCTTTGGGCCCTGTGTCCCTGTGCTGGGATTAAGGGTCAAGCTGCTTGCAGCACTCCCAATCAGTTATGGCGGATGGCAGTGGTTTCAAACAGCTTGCTGGAACTTCAAAGGGAGCTTGCGCTGTGAGCTCTTTGACTCACGTTGCAAGGAAAAATTTAAAAATCCCTGAAAAACATGGCAAAGTTTGCCGGCAGAGACTGTCCGGACCTGTGTATCCTGGGAGGCATGGAGGTTATGGCTGAGGGAGGCCTCGTGCCAAGCCGAGCTGGCGGCAGGTAGCCAAGCCAGAGGCTGAGCTCCACAGCATTATGGGACTGAGGTGGTAGTCATTAAGGAGAAGGCATTAATAGAAAAATTTGGATACAGACAATTATTCTGCACATATTTATATGCATATTTAAAATCATTACCCAAGATTCATGTGAAGACTGATGTTCATTGAAGCACTGTATACAATAACAAAGTTAGGGGGTATAAGTGTCTGCTAACACATAAATGGTAAGATGTGTCTCAGAATGCTGCTTCTCTTTAAAGTGGGAATTTGTAGCAATAGAGAAAGAACTGAAAATCTGAGGAACATCATGCAAAGTAAAATAGTCCAAGCCCAGAAAGACAAACGTGTTTCACTTACAAGCAGGTTGTAAAGAAATTGACTTCCTGGCTGCATAGTGCACATTTTCAGGACAGTGAGGAGTAAAGAGACACAGATGGGTGAAGAGTATAAAATCTATTAAATAACACAAGTAGGATTTTATTCCTTTGAGATAAAATGCACAGCACATTCAATCTAGATATTAGTACACATTTCAAAGTTTCTTAGAATATATTTCTAATGTGTTACTGTAAAATGATGTATAATTGTAGTGATGGACATCACCCTATTTAGCTTGATATGATTATTTCACAAAATTTTTAATGAGTTGTATTAGTTTCATACCTTGAATGTATTGCTATAGATTGTCAATCTACCATTATAATATCTAAAATGTCAGGTAGAATGTAGATATGGTATATATGGCTAAGTGTAGCCAGGGCCATAAAGTTCCCTTCCTAAATTCTTGGTTTTGTTGATTAAAAACATATGAAAGCAAGCAAGATGGAAATTGAGGACAATTTAGTGGAGACAGAGATAGAGAATGCATTGAGCACCAGGGAATGTGTGTGTGGGAATGAAGAGTGGAGAGAGAAAGCTGTGCATTTAGTAGAGTGAAGCCATGGAAGCAAGACTGGCTCATTAGGAGAGGAGGAGAATCCCAGGTCCTCTGGGCTACGGTTGCTCATATGGTGCACAGATCCTCTGGGCTGTGGTTGGTCACGTGGTGCTCAGGTCCTTTGCCCTTGTTTGGTCATTAAAGGGAGGGCCAGAGTTGTGACCTCACAGGCCCAGACCTTGTTTTGTAGCCCAGGCTGGCCTCAGTCTGCAGCCATCCTCATGCCTCTGTCTCCCAAGTTCCAGGAGTTTGGTGATCTCACTCCCTGCTCTCCTCGCAGTTTTACCCATTCTTAGCTTGTCTTTTTTCTTTCCATCCTTTCTTTTAATGTGGCCTTTTGTAGATTGTTAACTGGATTTTTCTTTAATGTAAGAGGAAACTTGTCTCTAATAAGCTCCCCCATCATCTGACCTGATATCTAACCATCACCATGTATCTAGATAAAGAGTCGCTGACCTCTGACATTAGTTGAAAATGGTAACAGGATTTTAGGAGCCAGTCATGCCATCTGTCTTAGAGGAACCTGACGTGTGTCCAGGAAACACATAACTGCAGAGGGCCTTTTGCTCCCCTTCCTCCTGCTTACCATCCCCTACCACATGATCACCAAGTATTTCTTCACAAATAAGCATGAATGAATTCCTTTTCCAAATTCTTTGGAAACCAAGCAGGAAGTTGGTTGGCCTGTTTTGGGGTAATCGTCGGGGCTCTGAAGATGGTTCTACAGCTGATGTCTGCAGGTCTGTAGTTAGCTGTTGAGTGGGGATTCCCCCACTGATTCATGTTTTCATTCTTATTCTTCTGTAAAATCAAAGTGGCCAACTGAACATGAAAATTCCTTGGAGTCTTATTAATCTTTTTGCTTTTTTTCTTTATACATTAGGAATGATGCTTATGAATTTTGTTAGTTAAATTAAAAAGATGGATTGGGCTGCCAAGTAACTACCACAGAATCAGTGGATTTAAAATCAAATGTGTCTCCGCACTGCAGTGTGAGAGCCTGAGGGGAGGATTCTCTCCCAGGCTCTTCCTGTCTGGACACCTTCTCTCAGACGTCTTGTATCAGACCCTGCAATGCTATTTCTTCCCATGATGAGGACACAGATGGCATTATGGGGTTCCACTCTCAGGATTTCATCTATAACCTATTAATTACTGAATTATATACCCTAGGATCATTACATTAAGTATCATTTATCAAATTCTTGGATATTAGGGTACCTACTTCCATGAACAGACACCACTGTGGAGACAGAAAGGAAAATTATTCATAGGACTCGTACTTTCTGTCCTTTTAAATCAGAAAAGTTCTAAATACTTATTTTATTTTTATGTGTGTGAGTGTTTGCCTACATGTATGTCTGTGTAAAAGGAGTGTGCCCTGAGATCTATGACTATCAGAAATAGGCACTGGTTCCTGTCCTAGTTTCAGTAATTATTGTTCTGAATAAACACATGACCAAAGGGCAAGTTGGGGAGGAGAGAGTTTATTCAGTTTATATTTCCAAATTATAATTCATCATTGAATGAAATAGGATAGGAGGAACTCAAAGTAGACAGGAATCCGAGCCCTGAGCCTTTGATGGGCCCTGCTTCCTGACTTGCTCCCAATAGCTTGCTTAACCTGCTTTCTTTTAGAACCTAAGACCACCAGCTCAAGGAAGTAGCCTCCACTATGGGTTGGGCCCTCCCCCATCCATCAGTAATTAAGAAAATGACTTGACTGGATCTTATGGAGGCATTTTCTCAATTGAGGTTCCCTCCTTTTAGATAACCCTAGCTTAGGTCATGTTGACATAAAACTCACTGGCATGGAATCCCCTTGAACGCGAGTGACAGATGACTGTGATCCACCATGTAAGTGCTCCCAACCAAACCTGAGTCCTTTGATAAAGTAACAAGCATTCTTTATTGCTGATCCATCTCTCCAGTTCTGTTTTCTTTTTCAAAGAACAGATCTGTGTAACGTTATTTATTTTACAGAACAAGGTGTATTGGAAAAGAACCCATCCTAATGTTGAATTTACTGTTGCTTTTGCCTCCATTCTCTCCTGGCAGAGCCGGCCTGCTCTTCTTGCTCACAGTCTTCCAGTGTCTCACAAATGTGACTGCGGGAGAGGTTCTCGTGATTGACAGGGATCGTTTTCCGTGAGTAGCCTCTGCTCCAGAAGCAGGCATCAGGGGCGAGTGATCAATTTAATTACATTCATAGTTGGGCCTAAAATGTTATATCATATATTACCAGCAATTCCCCTTTTTCTTAATTACTTAGTTGAAAATAAACAAACTATGAAATTTTGTTTTCATCATGTGGGACCATGAATTTTGAAGGATGTAAAGAGTTTTGTAATATTAATTGAAAAATGGATGAAAAATTAAGAGCAGATGTTTCTGCTGCTCAGAGAAAAATCTCAAAATTGGGGTGAGACCACTAGATCCCAGTGTTTCAGACAACACAATATAAAGGGGGCTAAACGTGACAGGAAATTCACCCACCCCCTCCCAAAGAAAGCTGTCAGGGGTTTCACAGAGCTCGGGTGCAGTGGGTTCAGCAGCACTGGAGCTGGAGAGGGACAGCTGCACAAGAATCAGGGTCCTCTTGATGCAAGGCTGGAAAGAGCCAGACAACAGCCGGATATAAAAGATCTGTTTTTATCCGTGTTTTTCAAACATGAAAGAACCTTTTCCTGGTGGCCTATGCTTAGGATTCCCTGCTCTCAAAGTTGGCTAAATACATGCCAAGGAGGGAAGTTTTCAGAGAGGAACCGAGGGCCTCGGTTAGTTGGCAGAATGCTGACTCTCCCTGTGTTAAACTCTGTGTTAGATTCGTAGTACCACAAAACTCTTAGCAGGGCTGTATTTCTGTAATCCCAGAATTTGGCAACCGGGTTAGAGACAGGAAGTTGCTCATTCTTGGTTATGTATGGATTTTAAGGTCAGCCTGCACTGGTGGTTCTGTATCAAAAACAAAACAAAACAAACAAACAAACAAAAACCCCAGAGATGAAATGAATATACTGGGAGGGGAAAGGCTGAGGACTTGGAGGGCAAGGCAGGGAAAGGGTTAAGTTTGGCATCTGTTAAAGATTCATGGTTGTAAAGAGAGACTATTGAAGGAATACATCTGTCCTAAAGTGGGGGTAGCAGAAGAGAAGGGTGTAGTGTCCTGAAGATGCACTGTGACCTCAGAGTGACAGTGTCACCTTCCTCATAAGAACTGGAAGGACGGAAGTCTCCATAACAATTGTGTGAGGTGAGGTACAAATGAGCTGCTCCTCAGGGAACCAGCTTCAGAGGGACACAGACTCTGGGGAGAGTGGGCACATCAGACTGTTTCCCTGGAGGGCTGTTGTGTGGCCAGAGTGGACAAAGAGGGAAGAGTTTTCTGGTGGGGAGAACAGTAGGGAGAATGTCATAAGGCTGTTGACCTAGAGTGACTGGTCTAAGATGAGGACATGTGTGGGAGTCAGCATGGAGTATAGAGGACACTGTCCTGTTAGGCTGACTGTGGTAGCAGAAGTCACTGTGGTCAGTATCTCACCTGTGCCTTCTGGACTAATCTAAGGATGTATAATGTGATCTCTGTCTCTGTAGACATGAGCACACCAGTGGATACTACAGAGTGTCATCGTATTTCCTTGGGAAATTGCTGGGTGAGCTGGTACCCAGGAGGTTGTTGCCAAGTATTATATTTACTGTTATAGTATTCATCATAGCAGGTAAGTGACAAGGCAAGAGAACGTGTCTTTACTCTTGGGGGAGCGTGTTTTGGTTTGTACAACTGTGGCAAATCTAAAGTAGAAGAACATAAGTAGAAAAGCACATCTCCACTGTGTGCCATCAAAACAGGAGTTCAACATGAAGAAATTCTTCAAGACTTGTTCACAAAATAGTATAAAAGCTGTTTATGAAACTGTGCTTTTACTAGAGATTCTGTGCACTATAATGAATGTGAAAATAGTACACACATTTGAGACAGTGTCAATGGAGCAAGGTAAATTATTAAATATCTACGCAAAAGTTTTTCAAAGCTTTAAATTTCCTTCACTTGTTTGTTTGACTTTCATGTGTATGTGTCTGTCTGTCTGTCTCTCTGTCATGTGTGCACTAAGTGGATCCAGTGCTTAGAGAGGCCAGAGAAGTACATCAGATCCCCTGGAACTGGAGTTACAGAATGGGAACTGCTGTATAGGTGCTGGGATTGGAATCCAGGGCCTTTCAGTAATAGCACACACTCTTAATCAGTGAGCCATCTCTTACCCCAGCTGTATATTTTTCCTATGTTTCTGTATAAGTATCCGAATGTGTAAATGCAATATAGAAAAGTGGATAGTATCTCACACATATGTTTGTTGGAGGAGGGTACCATTTGTTGGTTCTTGGCTACTTAGTCCTGAACCAATCACACAGAAATTCAGAAACTCTATTAATTAAATCACTACCTGGCTTATTAGCTCTAGCTTCTTAATGGCTAACTCTTACATATTAATTTAACCCATTTCTATAATCTGCACATCACCACAAGGTCATAGTCTATCAGCAAAGTTTCAACCTGTCTATCTCTGGTGGCTGCTCCATGGCATCTCTCTGACCCTGCCTCCTTTGTCCTAGCATTCACTTTAGTTTTCCCCACCTAGCTCTGTTCTTTTACTCTATCACAGGCCAAGATAGTTTCTTTATTCTCTAACCAATAAAAGTAACACATAGACAGAAGGGCCTCCCACACCATTTCCCCTTTTCTATTTAAACAAAAAGGAAGGCTTTAACATAGTAAAATTACATAAAAATGTATCAAATAATAACTACAGTTACAATATTTATATCTACTTTATCTTTTGTCATAACTAAGGAAAACCATAGCTATAAATTCTTTAACTTCATCAAAGACTCCAGAAAGATATAATATTACCTAAATAGACAGCAGGTGCATTATAAGCAACTTTCAAAATTCTAGAATTGACAGAGACAATTCACTGCCTGAACAGTCACCCGAAGTTCTTCTACATCATTGTGGCTTCCATCGTCGGCCTACAGACAAGTAGTATCCTGTAGACTTTTCCACAAAGCAGGGAATTTCAAGAACAGTTCTGCCTAAATTGGTAGATTTTCAGTTACTTTTTTCTGTGTCCTATAGAATGTCTGGCAAATTCTTTCATGAAGCAGAAACCCCGATGGGTCATCTCACCTTTAGACAAGTTCAGCAGTCACTTTTCTGTGGGTCCTGCAATCCAGTCAAGCAGTCCAGGCAAGAGCGGTTTCTTGTCCAAATGGCTAATCAGCTCCACAAGGAGCCTCTTCAATGCCCATTGTCCTCCTGAAGTAATTGGTGCTGTCAGGAGCAGATGTGTCTCACTGTCATGAAAAGTTTTCAGTTTTAAACATTTGAAATGCCATATTTTGAAGGTCTCTGAAAGATTTGAAGAAAACCTATCTAACTGAAATATATCTCTATACATCTAGAAAATCCAACATAGCTACGAGCTTGACTATTATAGATGATTATCTATTAACCGATATTTCTTAATTATATATTACATTTTTAAATGAACTGCGCAAACACAATACCTCAATCAGGCACATATATATTTAACAAAATTGACCTAAAATTTGTATCAATAAACCAAGATCTATACCACTTCAAATCTCTAAGACATATCCCCCTTTAAATGTAAAGAAGCATTTACAATCTGTATTTGGGAATATGGGCATAGTTTTGCCCATACTGCTTCCTGCTGATTGTTGAGCAAAGTAATTTTGGGGGATGTTCACAGTGACCTTCAGGAGGAGTCTTGTTCCATCAAACTACACCAGTCTAGAAGCAATCCATAAGCTCTCATCCTCTGTGGAAATAAGAGAAGAACCTCTTTTCCAAAGCAACAAATACTTAGACCCAAATTCTGAATATATCATATATGCTGGTTTAGCTTAGCAGCTCACACAATGAAATGTGTCTCTGGACTTAACTCCTTCATAGTCAAAAAATTAAAAGAAAGCACAATAATATAGATAATCCAGACTCTCTGTGTATTGGCCATCTTTATTTGGTTTATTTTTTCTTTTCTCCTTTTAATCTGACTGTCTGCACTCTGTCTCTTTAAAGACTTTTTTTTTAAAAAAATGATTTACTTCTTTTTTAACTCTTTATACTCTTTTTTTTCTCCCAAGCCTACAAACATTTATCCAACACTGTGACCCATTTTGAGGTCTTTTATGTCTGAATCTGTCCTTAAGTGTAGCTGCAAATATTTACTGTCCAGGAACACTTTTTAAAATGCTAAGCACTTCTTAAAAACTTAAGCTGTGCCATTATTAGGGTATATGTGGTACTTCCTGCTTGCCCTGTCCAGTCCATAATGATGCTGCTCATCTTTTAGTGCTATTCTCACTGCCCCACTTCTAGGCACACAGCCAGTCCAAGTTGCCATCAGCAAGCCATAGGACATTGCTCACACTGCCATCCAAATGCTCAATCTCCTGAAAGAGCCAGAGGTCATGCTGGCAGCACAGCCAAGAAAGTCAGGATATTAAAATGACATGACTTTTTTTGTTGTTACAGCTGTGTCAGGAAAACCTCTCTTAAATGAGTTGTGGCATGCCACCATTAAACAGCAAGGAGCTGTGTTAAACTCTGTATTTTTGTGTCTAGAATTAAACTGTCTCAGGTTTATAAGTGGATTTTAGTTTGACATGTTGGGCACCAATTTGTAGCAGCAGGCCGCTTGTTTGTGCTGTATGCTTAGCCCCAAAATAATCACACAGAAACTGTACTAATTAAATTGCTGCTTGGCCCATTAGCTCTAGCTTCTTATTGGCTACCTCTTACATATTAATTTAACCTTAACCCATTACTGTTAATCTGTATATCACCACGTGGCTGTGACCTACCAGCAAAGATTCAGTACGTCTATCTCTGGCAGCTGTTCCATTGTGTCTCTTTGACCCTGCCGCCTTTCTCCCAGCATTCACTTTACTTTTCCCTGCCTAGCTCTGTTCTTTTGCCCTAACAGAGGTCAAGACAATTTCTTTATTCACTAACCAAATAAAAACAACACATAGACAGAAGGACCTATCACACCACATTTGTATGTGAAAATGAACTTAAATGTATACAATGTCTTATGCTACCTAATTTAACAAAGAGAGAGGATACTAAATTTAAGGTTGGTTGATATTATGCAATATAAAAAATTATTTTAAATATGTGTACAAATTCATCTGTGCATCATGGATAGGCTTCATCTCAGAATTTTCATACTTTTCACACACAGACACACACACACACACACACACACACATAAAGACATACAGACATGCATACTCCACACAGACATAAACACATGCACATATATGAACATACATTCTCTCACACACATAGACTTTCAAAGATAAGCACTGATAAAGATTAGACTTTTTTAATAAGAAATTTATCATTTAGAACCTGTCATTTAGGCTGTGGGATGGTTATGGGAAATGTGCTTGTCCTGCAAATCAGACAACCTGAATTTGATCCTTAAAATTCACAGTAGAAGAGAGAATCACTCCAGAAAGACATCATTCAACTCCACATGCACACCATGGCACATATACAGCATGGCACATACACACCATGGCATGTACATACCATGGCACATGCATAGTCATGAACACCTATACACACACATGTACCATACTCACTTTGGGGACGAAGAGGGAGGAGGAGAGGGAGTGGGGGGAGTGGGAGGGTGTTGGGAGGTGGGGCGGAAATGGAAACTTTTATAATTTAATAAAATTACTTAAAAAAAAGATAACCATAACATTAACTTTGTAAACAATTAGACTTGGAACTCATCTCTCCCAGACTCTACCTTGTGGCTTTGTGACTATTATAAAACACAGGGCTATTCATGGCTCATATCATTATCTCCATAAAGATTACATATCAGTTTGTGGAACCCATTGCCTTCCTCCAGAGCAGTTACATGGTGACTTCCTAGGAAAACTAAAGTTGACCTTCCTGTCCTCTAGATATTAAAACCACTGCAAGGTTGTTTAATCCTTGCCTTGGTTAGGTTTCTAGCATTGTGACAAATGCCATGACTAGAAACAACTTGGGGAGAAAAGGGTTTATTTCATCTTATAGTTCAATGTCCTTAAAGAAGAGAACTCAGAGCAGGACCCTGGGGGCAAGGAGTGAAGAAGAGGTCATGGAGGAGTGCTGATTTTTGGCTCCTAATGGCTTCCTCAGTCTGCCTTTTTATAGAACTCAAGACTACTTGCCTAGGGATGGCATCATTCACAGTTGTCTAAGGCCCCCTACATAATCATTCATGCAGAAAATGTCCCCACAGGCTTGCCTACAGGCCAAGCTAATGGAAGCATTTTTTTAGTGAGGTTCCCTTTTGCCATAAACATCTCTAGCTTGTGTAAAATAACAAAAACTAACAGACACAGTCCTGATCCCAATTTTATTACTAATGCAATTATAGTAAACACAGAGGAAAGTGGACATGAACATGTTCTATTGCTGATTCTCCTGTGAAAAAAAATGCAATAAAATTTGGGCCACTTGTATAGTCTGTAGTTTTCCATATCAGGATCATATACATTGCTCATAATTTTATATAGAGGAGAACAGGTGTTATATGAAAAGATATTTTGTGGTGGATATAAAAAGAAAGTGATATGATGAGGCTTGAGAGAGACTCATTGGTTAAGAGCACATGTTGCTCCTCCAAAGTCCCCAAATTTTGTTCCCAGCATGCACATGATCAGGTCACAGTTACAGATGCAGAGAAGTTTGGCGGCCATGAAACTATTACTAATATTATTGATTATTAAAGCATTATTTGAAATATGTACAATATTCCTGACATAGATAGATGAACTGACTCTACTTTTTTTCTTTCTAAGGAGTAAACACAGATGTGAAGGGTTTCTTCACTATGTTGTTTACCATCATGATGTTGACTTCTTCTGCCAGTTCCCTGCCACTGTCTATAGGGGCAGGGCAGATTGCAAAGGATGTACCAATAGTAATTGTGACCATCTACTTTGTGTTCATGCTGGTGAGTGTGAATCGTGGTTTTCTTAGAAGAAGAATTTCCTTGTGTCCTTTGTTGCACATGTAACCTGCTTGACTCATCAGGACTTGTGACAGTAGGCCTGATGCTAAAGCTTATTATGGTCTGTAGGAGAGAAAGAGTTGCCTTTCCTCCTAGGCTTTATGGTTACTTCTCTGATGTCAGTCCTATAAAGGGAGAAGCCATGGAGCCACCTGAGACAGACGTGTTGAAACTTTGCTAGTAACCTCATGTAGAAATGCACAGATTAATGGAGATGGGTTAAAACAAGATGTAAAAGCTAGTGGATAAGAAGGTAGAGCTAATAAGCCAAGCAGTGATTTAATTAATAACGTTTCTGTCTGATTATTTTGGTTCTGGGCAGCCGGGACAAACAAGCGGCCTCCTCCAACATGGTTGGCATGCTGTTTCTCATGAGCTTTTACCAGACATCTCTTGGAATCACGTTACAAAACTGTGATAAAATAGAACTTCAAGAAATTGGTGTGATTGACTGATTCCCCAAATAGATAGATTGCTACCTTCCTTTAATGCCAGTATGAGAGACTTACCTGCCCTTTTAATCATAGCAGAGGTGATTTGGTTTGTTCAGTCATCTTTAATGAGAAATCATAGTTCAGGTTGTATTTTACTCTTTACTCTTTGTTCTTTTGGGCACCCACCACCCAGCTCCCAAATAAAGCAAATTGAATAATATTATTACTTATAAATGCCTAGCCTTTCTTGGCTTGTCTCTAGGCATTATTTCTTTACTTTAATTATCCAATCTACCTTTTGCCTCCGGGATTTTTTTCTCTTTTTATTTATTTTGATTAAAAATTGATTTTATATACCAATTCTAGTACCCACTCCCTTCCCTCCTCCAGCTCCTCCTACCTTTGCCCAAGTCTACCCCTTACCACTCCTTAGAGAGGGTAATCCTTCCAATGGGGAATTAACAAAGACTGGTCCATCACTTTGAGGCAGGACCAGGTTATCCTCACTATATATAGGTGAAGGAAAGTATTCCTCAAATAAAAATGTGCTCCAAAAAGGTCAGTTCAAACACTAGATCCAAATCCTTGTCCCACTGACAATGGTCCCACAGACCGCCCAAGCCACACAACTGTCACCCACATTCTGAGAACCTAGTTTGGTCCTGTGCAGGTTCCCCAGCTGCCACTTAGGGATCAGTGAGCTACCATTAGCCCAGATCAGCTGTTTCTGTGGGTTTCCCTATCTTTTCTTACTACTGTGTCTTACTCTCACACTTACTCCATGACTGGCAGTGTGAATTGGTGGCTGTGTAGTTGGGTGGCTAGCCCCTAGCATCCTCCTCTTCTCCTTTTATTGTTCCTCCATCCCCTTAGATTTCTCCTCCCAGTTATTCTCTTTGCCTGCCAGCCCTGCCTATCCTATCCTGCCAAGTTATTGGCCTTTCAGCTCTTTATTAGACATATCAGGTGTGTAGACAGGCAAAGTATTTCAACTTGACAAAGTTAATCAAATGCAATATAAAAAGAATGTGTCAAATCTTTGCATCATTAAACAAATGTTCCATAACAAAAACGTGTGTAACATATCTTAAAATAATATTCTACAAGAATGATCAATGTAATTGTTCAGCTCTAAGTGTCTATCTCAGGGCTCACTTGTGATGCCCATGCTGTCACAACTGCTCTGCATTCACATGTGTCACTGTCCTGTTGTGACAGGAAAACACTGTCTTGTTGTAGTTGTCCACTGCCTCTGGATCTTACAATTTTTCTAACCTCTTTTCATCATGATCCTTGATCTTTTTTTTAAAATTGTAATTATTCTATTTATTAATTAAGATACAATGTTATGTGTTGACATACATGATTAAATTACTTTAATCATCATGGGGTACTGAGGAGGCCTAAACTACAAAAGTTAAGTTTCCATGTTCACCTTTAAAGGAAGATAACTTTAAAAATCTACCACACACCTCCACACTCACAACTCAGTAGTGACTTGTAAAATTAAATTTCTGTGAAATTTAAATCTGGGGCCTCTTAAAATGCCCACACTGTCTCTAAATTCACATTAAATTTAGCTCCCTAAAATTCCCACCCTGACTCCTTTACTTGTGAGTTATAATTAGTGATATTACTTAAGTCCTTAAAAAGTCTATCTAAAAACATCAGCCAATAAAAGGACAAGTTACTCCTTGAAATAATAACAAACACATAATGCCAGGATCCAACACATAACTAACGAGTAAAAGAACTAGCTAGTTATACTTTTATATATAAACATAATCATCATTGTAAAATCTGTTCTACCACACATGGCAGCCTGAAGAACAGAGCATATTTAATAATCAAACCAATGCATTTACTGTTTTGGGTTGCAGTTCTTCTATTGTGAATTTAGACTTCATTGGTCATCCGGTGTCCACACGACACTTAACAATTATGTTGAAATCTATTTCAGTTTTCCCCCCAATTGACAACATTGTCTGATGAAGAACTATGATGACAAAGATGTTTGGCTTTCTGGTCCAGCTGGACAGCATAGTAATAAGGGTCATTTAGCAGCAATGTCTGCACTAAATTTCTTTGATCCTTGATCTTTTCATCATGATTCTTGATCTTTTGAAGAAGAGTGATCCAGATGTCCCATTCAGTCCTGGATCCTCTGACGTCTCTATTCTCTCTATGTTGACCTGTGGTGGGTCTGTCTTAATCACTGTCTCCTAAAAAAGTAAGCTTCTCTGATGAAGGTCTGAGATGCACTAATCTATGACAACAACTTATTAGAAGTCAGTGTAATACCATGTCCGTTTAGAAGATTAAGAGTGCAAGGACATGGAAAATTTTAAGAAACTTTACTTGGTCAGGAGCTGGTTAAGGCACTGGATTCTAGAAACTTTGGAGCTTCAAGAGTTAGCTGGAAACAGGAGCCTTTGCAAAAGTGCAGACCAACTGTCCCTAGCAGCTAGCCCCCTGTCAACACCCAGCTTTGTGGTCTAGATAGGAGCAGAAAATAACTGCTCAAGTGGAGGGCAGGGGGCATGCACAGAATCAGAAGAAGCCACTTAAAGAAGTAAGAGGGTATGCAGTAGTCTAACTTAACTTGCTAGTTACCAAAACTAATTCCCCTTGACCCTGGGTAAACCTGGCTTGCGGTTTTTGCCTGTATATGTCAACCACATATGAGGAGTGAGAGCTCTCTCTACTGCACTTCCTTGTGAGTGGAGGCTTTGAGCTTCCAGCTAGCTGGACTATGTGCATGTGCACTGAATAAAATTTGCTTTTGCATTCTGGACTTGACTGGATTCTGGTGGTGTCTCTCTGGGGATCTCAACTTGGGAACAACAACAAGAGATTCTCCCCTGGCACCTATGACCCCAGTAGACACAGCATCAGACAGTATTTCCATCTCATAGAGCAGGCCATAACTACAATCAAAAAATAGATGGTAGTTAGTTCCATTGTAGTAGTCTGTCCGGTGTTCCCCGTGTGTTTCTTTGTCTCCACAAAAATGAAAAGCAGAAACCCAGGTGGAATCACCACTGTCCTTGAGCACACTCGCAACTTCACCTGAAATCCCTATCCTATATGTCAGCATTTCTAGCTCACTGTTCATAGTGACAGCACCCAGTCCAGATGGAAGTCACTACACATAAGAGACTAAAAGAAACTGATGGGAAGTTCTGCCCCATTGTGTTAAGGATCAGACTCAGATTACTCTGTCAAGCATGCTTGCCTGGACTGTAGATTAGTTTCTGTAAAGGAAGCCTTGGCATTCTGATTCTTAGACCTAAAACCCCTACCCTTTTGGGGCACTCTTGTTGGGGTACAATGACAGTACTTTCATCTATGTCATTGCTGGGGTGCCAGACTCTCAGGGCATTGGGCAGTAGAAAAACATGACTCTTGTGGACAAGATGACCTACAGACATTGGTTCTGCTGCAGTCCCAGAGCATGGATCCCAAAGCATAGTGGAAACTGCAAGAACCAGACACCATTTCCAGGAGCTCTGCCCATTGTTGGTTCTGATCATCTTACCTCAGAGTGTTGAAGGGAAAACGAGTCATCTTGGAGCCCAGAACTGCCTGAGCATTTTTACAGAAGATTTAAAAATGAAATGCAGTTCTGCAGTGACTCCAGTATGTTGGGTGGAGGGTTAAAGATGACAGAATGTGTCCATATAGATAATTTGGATAATCCTGTGCAACTCCATCCCTGTTCCCTTTTCATAGTAGGTGCACAGCAGAGTAAGTTATTCCTGGAGAATATATGAGGAAATTTCAAAAGGAATACAACAGATATTAAATATTAAATTGTCTCCTGGAAGTCTTCCTACTTTCTATATAATAGACTGACATTGTTGGGTTAGGAACCCAGATGAAATTGCACAAATATCAAAGAAACAAATAAACAACTAAAAGAGAACTTTAATATACAGTGGTAGAAGTGTGTACCACCTCCTCAGATGGGTAGAGCCTCCTCCATTCCTCATGCTGATGCTGGTGTGATGAATACTACTTAGTGTAACTCAGAACTACACATTTGTTTAAGATTAAAGTCATTTTCAGAAGGACTACAAGACTCTCCTCATATGAATGTTACATATCTTCTGTCTTAGGGATCCCACAGGCTTTTCCACCAGGAAATAAAGTCTGTTTCTGATCAATTGTGTTGCAGGTCAATCCTCTACTTTGCTTTCTCTTAGGTTACAAAGTTTTCACCCAGACTCCTTTGCTAAAATTTCCAGTCCACAGTTTCCTGCTTGGGAACCAAATACTGCTAAAAAGCTGAAAAAAAAAGAGAAAAGTTGAAGCAGACCTGGAAGGCCCCTTTCCTGTGTTGTTAACCAAGAGCACAGTTCAGAAGGTTAAGGAGGTGGGACACAGTACATCTAAGTGAGAGACTGCAGACATCATCATCCAGATGGACAGTCTTAGCACAAGGAAAACCTTTAAAGTTAACATTTAAAAGTCTTGCTTTTTATTTCTAATATGACAATAGAAGCTTTTAATGTAAGTAAAGAAGTTTAATAGCAGTTTGTTGTTGTGAGTATCTAATCTAACACTTACCTAAGAAACCAAAAAAAGAAAACAAATAAACAAAGGAAAACCAGAAACCTTTCTCTGCCAGACAAGTACATGTGTCCCAAGTTGTCCCTTTGAATCATCCAGGAAGCCTTTAAAATTAATTCCCAAAAGGACCCTATCAATCCCTCATAACCTAAAGGTCATGGAGTTGGTAGAGATCATTCTGCTTCTATCTTTGCTAAATGCATTTATAAAACTGACATAGACCCTGAATACTTGGATAAATTGTAGAGCGCATGTGCCCAAGGAGTGATTGCTACACCTGTGTGGCAGGACATCCACAGGCTCAAGGATCCTTTTCCTTTTAGTGGGACTCTGGTCCTACTGAGCAAACTGCATGCTGCCCTCTTTCTGAGAGAGGGACACATGATTGTCAAGTTTCCCAGAGTCTGTTTTTCTTGTTCCCAGATGTGCAGGCAGGCCCACTGAGAGCCTCCAATTGACAGAGATGATGAGTTATTCCTCACGCAACAGGAGGATGGATTCTCTCTCCAATGGGTGCTGATTCCTCTGACAGTTTTACTGTTGATGTTATGAATTGTTCCTCTAACCTGGGTCTTTTTATTTCCTTGTGAAATTCAATATTTTTTTCTATTTCTGTGAATTGAATTGAAATTTTGATGGGTATTACATTGAGTCTATTGATTGTTTTTGGAAGGATAGATAGTTTTGTAATTTTTATCCTAGGAAATATAAACATGGGTGGTCTGTCTAACTTACATATTTTCCAATTTCTTTTGTTCAGTGTCTTAACCTTATTGTACAAGTATTTCATTTTGTTAGATTTATTCCAAGGTTCCCTTTCTTCCACTCTTTTGAGGCTTTTGTAAATGAGACCGTTTATGTCATTTTGTTTCCATTATGTTTGTAATTTGTACTTTGAAAAGCTCCCGACTTTTCTGTTTGTCATGGTGTTTTATCACAGCCTCAGGAAAGGACCCAAGACAACAGGTTATCGTATAAAGTTTCTACATGTGACCTGCAAACTAGTTATGAAGCCAAATGGTGTGTTTTCTGTATAGCCATTTGGTCAGGTGCAGTCTGAATGCATGCACACACAGCCATTATTTTGCATATTCTAGTGTATCCAAGACTGCATAGGAAAAGTCTTATGTGAACTTCACAGCTGTCCCTTGTTTGTCCTCATGCATCAATCATGGTATCTGCAAAAATTAGATATCATAATATCTAAAGAAGACTTAAAGGCATAGGATGGGTGTACTTAAAGTTTTAAGAATATTCATAGATTTAATGCCATTTTAAAGATTATGTAATATCTGTAAGTTTGGGTCTTGCAGAGTGGGGTGACTAGTTATCCTTTTAAAACCCGCAAGGAGCCTTAATTTTGCAAGAGTGAAAAATTTTGCTTAGATTTAACTGAAAGAATGTTTTTTTTCTTTTTTTCTGAGACAGGGTTTCTCTGTAGCTTTGGAACCTGTTCTAGAACTAACTAGCTCTTGTAGTCCAGGCTGACCTCAAACTCACAAAGATTCATCTGCCTCTGCCTCCCAAGTGCTAGTATTAAAGGTGTGTGCCACCACACAGAATGTTTTAAAGAGCTAGTCTGAGCAGAAATGGTCAGAAGGCTGAAGAAGGAGGATTTTGTCTAGAATTCTTAGTCCCTGTTCTGGTTCTAATTTGTGGTTTTGGTCTTTATAGTTTATTTCAGGTCTATATTCCATAAACGTCATACAGGACTTCTCATGGATTCAGTACTTTAGCATTCCGCATTATGGATTTACAGTAAGTTGTCCTGTCTCTCACTGTACTCGGGTTCTCCAGCTGTAGCGAGTGCAATGATTCCCATCCAGGTCCTTTCTCCAGCTGTAATCTCTAACCAGTCACTGCCCAGGATTTTCCTTCCAGGAGCAAAAGATGAGATCTTTCCTGTTGGTTTTAGCAGATGGTCAGTGAGTCATCTGAGATTTTCTCCAGTTACATGTTATTTGAGGGTGAAAAAAAAGGGTAAAAAGAATCCCAGAGTAAATGGGAAATATAGATGATACGATGAAAATCAAACAGTTGTGATTCTTCCCAATAAGGAAATAAGGAAAGGATCAGGGACTGTGATATATAGTTTATAGCAGGAAAATGAAAGAAACAGAAACCAGGTGATACCCAGAGCTACTCTGGTTTGCTAAGCTTCCTCTGCAGGAAACTGTGTCCTAATAGACTTTGTTCCTTCCATAAGCACAACTGGTGTCGATGAAAACAAGCAAGAGAACATTGTTAGTATAAATCAGCAGCATTGTTTTAAATATAGAGTTTACAAGGTTATGGACTGGGAGAGGAGAAGAAACCTGGAGTAGTCTAGTTAGAGAGTCCATGTCCTAGTAGTTAGGAGACCCCATCATTTCAATCCTATACCTCCAAGTGTGGGGGAGGGGACGGCTTTGCTAGGCAGACTGAACTTGGTGAGAATATTTTTTGTTTAAAAATATTTTTGCAAAAATGAAACAATTATATTTACAAATTACAGTCAATACTGAACTTGAGGTTATAGCTGTGTTTATTCTTTGGAAATGTATAAAAATATTGAACTATTTGCCTTTCCCTGTTCCTGTTTGTGTTACAGGCTTTGCTGCACAATGAATTCTTGGGACAAAACTTCTGTCCAGAGAACAAAACTGCAGAAATCAGTAGATGTCAGAACTTTGTAATGTAAGCTTGAGTTCATTGTCACAATGGGGACATAGAATGCTCCTAGACTTAGAAGGGAAACCCATCCTCTCAGGATTAACACTCTGCCCTTTGTCCATTCCCCAGAGTGAGTCATGGTAACCAATGCATGTGGCTGTGTTTCTAGCCTCCTGCTCCATGGTGTAATTAACATGCAGAAAGGGTTCTTTGGGGCCTTTAAAAATGGTTCTGGTGTCTTAATTGTGGATTTGGGTTCCTTGCTTCAGAACATTTGAGTTTGACATAGGCTGCTTTGATAGTTTACAAAGACATACAATTTCAACATGTATTGATTTTGGCACCTGTGAGCAGAGCCCAAGATTATCAGGGCAGCAAGGACTAAAGTGAGTGAACACTGCCTGCCAGATTTCAGGGTATTTCCTCTGTCCCACACTCTGGAAGACTTTAAGACACCAAAGCATGGTGCCTTTATGTGTGTGTGTGTGTGTGTGTGTGTTTGTGTGTGTGTGTGTGTGTGTGTGTGTGTGTGTGCATGTGTGTGTAAAATGTCCTATCAGAAGATTTGTCCTGCAATGAAAAATGAAAAATATACTTTTCACTATGTTGGAAGGAAATATCATTTTGTCTAATACCTTAAAATTTCTTAACTTTCTATAATTATTCTCATTGATTTGATTTTGATATAAAACGAGAGAAGAACATGGGAATATGTTAAATCTTTTATGGATGTTCAAAAATAAAAATAAGTAACAATAACAAAAATTTATATTTGAATTACTGATAAGAAAGCAAGTGTCGAGGTTATTTTATTTCCCACATCTTTTTTCTCCTGGTATGGTCTGGAATCTTTCTATTACAAATTCCTAATCAGTTTCTGGTCAGGAGTGTTGGGATGGGTAAAGTGAAAACAAGGAGATTCATCCACAGACCTCATATCCGTAAAAGAACTGTCTTCACAAGAGGAAGGAGAAATCTGCCCTTCCCAGGCATTTGGGGAATGTTAAATCCTATGAGATACACAGGGGTGGAGACACACAGGGGTGGAGACACACAGGGACAGGGATGTACAGGCAACAATTGTAGTGTATTCAGAAATTTTAGCAGTTGCTGCTTTTCTAACCTGTTTCTGGACACCTGCATCCTACTGTGCTTCCCAGGTTCTGCTTGTAGTCATGGGCTCCATAGCTGAGCATCCATCGGTGTCACTGCTTTCTTAGTACATGAGCTGAGAGCAGTCAACTGACTCCTCTTGGAAACTCTTGTTCTCCTCTGGTCCTTGGTCTAGAAATCTATGCTGTGTTCTATTGCATGACTGTATGCTGAGTCAGCAGAATTACACAAAGCTTTGGTCTCTTAGAGTGTGTGTGTCTAATTAATAAGCTAATGTTTTCTCCTTTGGGAGAAACAAGTCCTTCTTCTGTGCCTTTGTCCTTTGAAGAGAGAGCAGCATTGTAGATGTAGAAATGAATGATACAGTTAAGTCTACAAAGTTGGGTTTTAGTGTAACTCTCTGAACTCATCCACATTTATTATGCCTGCTTCCTCTATGCTTTTAAATATATGTGATAGCTGTGCTTCTTCAGATGTTTTTTGAAATTAACAAAGGGACCTCATTCAAGTAGCTTAGATTGACATAATATATAACAAAATTGTAAGTACTCCAATACTAGTATCAACTAAATATAAAGATGAAGTTTTTAATGATGTGCTGAAACTGAGTTTCTAAAAGGAAGGAGCAGTGAATGTACTGAGTAAGTTTTGACGTTATTTTTGTGTGTGTTGATTTACAGATGCAGTGGAGAAGAATTCCTGATAATCCAGGGCATTGATCTCTCATCGTGGGGCTTCTGGGGGAATCACGTGGCCTTAGCTTGTATGACGATTATCCTCTTATCAATTACCTATGTGGAGTTATTAGCTTTTTCAAAAAGGAGATGTTTTTTTAAATCAGTCTTCCACTTTCTTTGAATTAAACTGACCTTAAAAGAACTAAAATTTTACTGATGGGTGACAATGTCTGAGGAGCAGTAGATGGCTCTTGAATTTCAGGAGTTTGGCCCACCAGAACTCAAGGCACTTATGGGTGGATCATGGATAGGCAAGGCCCTAAGGACTTTGGCTCCAGAATGTCTCTGGCTACTGCTGTGCCTTTACGTTTTTGCTGCTGCCATTTTTCTATGGTATTTGCCATGGTGTGAGTGAGTGTGAAGGGATTCCCCTGTCTTTAATGTAGTGTGATTATCTCGTGGAAATATCATGACCTATGAGGCAGTTTTACCTGTGGATTATAATGAAGATGATTCCCTCTTAATATGTATTAATTTAAGTAATAATTTTACAATAATAGTGGTAGTTTAAAGAGAATTTTGATGATTAAGGGCTTTTATCAAATGTAGTAAGGGATTATGATAGATGTCAGTTTAGTGTGAAAATTAATATAGGTAAATGTAGGAAACAGTGTTGCCCACAGCCCTGATACATCAGGGTCTGGAGAGGATAGAAAAAAGGAACAAGGATTTGTCATAAAACTAAAACTTAAGAGTTTCTCTTAGGAACCTTATAGACTATTGTTTAGGTTAATAATTAAGGAAAACAATTGAGTCCCAGGAGTTTGCTCAAATTTTTTCTTTGATATTGGGAAATGTGTTTTTAGGTTTCAGTGTGTACCATAGCTAAAAAAAAAGCTATAAACAATTGACTTCATCTAACTAGAAAACAAAGAATTTTATGGTTCAATAACATAGTGGAACTCTAAAATATGAAAAGTGAACATAGTAGCCTGTTTTTCAGACAGTTATAAAAACTACTGCCTTGGTAAATAGTTATGGCTGAAAGGTTCCTGATCTATGAGAAGTCTAAAAGATAAATGTTTAACTGTATGTGGGAGCTTGGGGATAGTTTGTTTTTCAGCTGTAATGCATAGAATATTTAATCACGTAAGGGAAATAGGAATCATGTTGTTTCTTACTTGTATACATTGTAATCATTCAGTTAAAAGTAGAATGTAATCACATTGTCAATTTCATATTGTTTTAAAGATTATGCTGGGGTGTATAAGTTGTAAGGGAAAAAGTAGCGAGAAGGAAGTCATCAGGAAATAGTCGTGAGGAGGAAGTCATCAGGAAGTAGAGGAGGAGGAAGTCATCAGGAAGTAGAGGAGGAGGAAGTCATCGGGAAGCAGTGAGGAGGAAGTCATCAGGAAGTAGAGGAGGAGGAAGTCATCAGGAAATAGTCGTGAGGAGGAAGTCATCAGGAAGTAGAGGAGGAGGAAGTCATCGGGAAACAGTGAGAAGGAAGTCATCAGGAAAGAGAAAGAAAGAAAACATCAATGTAGAAGAAAAGAAAAGAAAAGAAAAATATAGAGTACCACAACGAACTAAGCTTTGACCCTTAGAAAAGTCCTTGCGTGCCCATTTATGTTTTCAGTGGTTTGTATGCTCTTCATCTCCTCTGCAGCTTTCTGACTGCTGAAGGTTCACCATTCATCAGCACCCACGCTGAGATCCTGACGTTTTGGAGATGTGTGTGTTTGTGTGTTTCTCTTGCTTGCCAGCCACAGAAAGTTAAGTTTTGTGGTGTGGGAGAATTGTCTGTATTCTGTCAATCATATTTTAATAAAACGCTGATTGGCCAGGCAGGCAGTATAGGTGGGAAAGCCAGGCAGGAAGTAGAGGTGATGCAATGAGAACAGGAGAATTCTGGGAAGCAAGGAGGTTCCTCTGCCACTCCTGTGCAGACCACCGAAGACGGAGCATGTAACTTGCCCAGCTGAGAAAAGGTACGGAGCCATTATGGCTAACATAGATGAGAATAATGGGTTAAGATAAGTTATAAGAACTAATAAGTAGCCTGACCTAATGGGCCAATCAGTTTTATAACCTTATGGAGTCTTGTGTGTGATTTTCCTTGGGACTTGCTGGCTTATTGGGGTACTGGGCCGGACAGAAACCCTAACAAGCCGGCCCGTCATGTTACAGTTTTGTCCTAGTCACTACCCCAGAGAATTCAGTTTTATTCCTCAGATCGAAAAGTCTATGGAGTGATTAGTCCTCTGAATCTGTGGAGTTCTGTCAGTTCCTGAGCTGCTGAAGGCCGGTCTCTACAGAAGCAAAACTTAATTTTTTTGTTGCTGTTGTTGTTCTATATATCAAACCTAAAACCAGCAACTGGGGTTTATGTTCTATGGTAGAAATTTTCTACAATTGTTTAAAGAGATTTGATTACAAACTGCCTTCTAAATATCTTTACTTATATTCCTGGGCACAGGCTACAGCCAGCATTACCCAGAAAAGATTCCCTCTGTAATGAACTGTGGTGAGTGCAGAGACTCATGACTGCTCAAGTACTGACTCTGGAGTGTTTAACCCTAAACAGGGCACCCATACCATCTACTCTAAAACTCAGAATTGTCTACTGGAGGGGTGTAATGAGTACAGGAAACATAAGATGAGAAGAACGGCTGGAAATGCTGTATTTTGGACACGATACACAGAGCCCTTGCAACAATGGTTCGTCGACAACATTTACAACTACCTACACAAGACTGGGTCCCTCATCCACAACATCAGGGTCAGCGAGGGACTCAAGAGGACCATACTCCATTCTGCTGAACTATAGCTATGGGTAGATTCTGATAGATAGTTATTCATTGATTTCACACGTATACTCACAGTAGAGCCAACTAGGCTCCAGTGGACAGTCTAAAATCCAGGGTCACACAGAGAGCCCTGGTTAAACTCCATGGGTCACAAGACAGAACACAAAAATAGGAATGTGGGAAAGAGACTTGTACAGAGGGATTGAATAAAGGGGTTGAAAGGGAGATAAGAAAAGTGGGAAGGGGGAGTATGGTTGCAATGCATTGTGTACTTATATGGGATTGCCAAATTTTTGAAATAAAAATTACAAATATAAAAAGACATCTTGTGTAAAGTATCTAATGCACTTTTTCTTATCAGTTTTTGTTATATTCTAAATAAGCAACAATCATTTTTCTTTGAAATTGACAAGGTAGTAACAAACTGAATTATAAGGTAAAGGTACTAAGTGCCAAGGTAATGTTTTTAAGTATTGCATGTTAGTTCATTTCACTGATAATAATCATGAGAGGAAACCAACAAAATTTCTTTTACCTTGAAAAAGAGAATTTGTCCTAGAGAACCTTACATTTTTACATCTTCATAAGTGAGAACATAGCCTATATCCACCAAATGAATCCATCATCAGCCATTATCTGGTTCATAAGAAACTACAGATTCTTTTAAAAGCATGGTTCTAAAATATGTTATAAATAAACTGTGCTACTTCTAAAGGTAAAAATGTCTCTGAACTTAGTGTGATGATGCAAGCTTATAGTGTCATTTAATATGCCATGTACTTCTGTATATTTGTTACTTTTATTGGTTGATGAATAAAGCTGTTTTGACCAATGGCTCAGCAGAGTAAAGCCAGGCAGGAAATCTGAACAGAGATATATAAAGAAAGTAGGTGGAGTCAAGGAGATGACATGCACATGCAGCTGTCGAAGGAGAAAGATGTCAGAACGTTACTGGAAAGCCATAGCCTTGTGGCCATATATTAAATGACAGAAATGTGTTCATTTAAGATGTAAGAGCTAGATAGGAATACACCTGAACCATTAACCAAACAGTTTATAATTAATATAACCCTCTGTGTGTTACTTTGGGACTGAACAGCTGTAGAACCTGGCTGGACAAAATTTGCATATACAGTCATTACCTGAGAAGTGAGAAGATCAGGAGTTCAAGGTCATCCTCAGGTAGATAGGATATTTGAGGCTACCCTGGGTTGCAAAAGATGCTACTTCAAAACAAAACAAAAATAAACAAACCATGCATGACTGACCATGGAAACATCTTTGATGAGCTCATTAAATAAGATTTATGGATGGTGTCTTAGAGTTTTTATTACTTTGAAGGAACACCATGACCATAAAGCAAGTTAGGAAGAAAAGGTTTATTTGGCTTATACTTCTACATCACTGTTCATCGCTGATGGAAATCAGGACAGAAAGTCGAGCAGGCAGGAAATTGGAGGCAGGAGCGACCACAGAGGCCATGGAGGGGGTTGCTGCTTATTGGTTTGTTCAGCATAGTTTTCCTGCTTTCTTATAGAAGCCAGGATTCTCAATCCTGGTGTAGCCCCATGAACAGTTTCTGGGCCATCTGCCATTGATCTCTTACTAAGAAAATGACTTACAACTGGATCTTATGAAGGCATTTTCACAAGTGAGGCTCTGTCTTCTCTGATGACTCTGACTTCTGTCAACTTGTCATAAAACCAGCCAGGACAGGTGGATACTTCTCTGTGGTGATGTAATGGCTCAGGAGTGTTGACTGGAGGTCTTGGCTATAGATGCTATAAAATGACAGGGTTATTGTGATATGAAATGACTCTTGTGAGATTTGATCTGAAAAGTCACTTAAGCTTTGGGTTAACTCAGTGGTATAGAATTTGGCAAGAGGCTCTCTTGAGGAACGTTGCTGAGACACAGATGTTGGGGCCCTGCCTTACAGATCAGTATCTGTAGAAACTGCCTCTTGGAATCCTTGCCTACTCCCAGATCTGCTAGTTTCCAAGATCCTTTGCAACCCTAGAGATTACAGTCTATGGCTAAGTAGCTGCTGCATCCATACCTTCGAAGTCTTTATTTCTCTTGGGTTTCTTTAATTTATATTCATAACTTCTTCATTCAGTCTTTTCCCATAACAGCATAGTACTCATCAGCAATATAGGTGTTTTTAAAATTTTTACAAACTGATGTACATTGTAAGAAAAAGTCCAGTTTGTCTCTTGGTGCAGACTTGGTATGCCCCTAGATCTTCCTTTTGCCCTTTCAGTGTTCCATCTAGCCCATCTGCTTTCCTTTTTGACTGTGCTGATCCATAGACTCTCTTAAGCAGAAACCCACATGGTAAACAAGACAAAATGACAAACTGCAGAATGGGAAAAGATCTTCACTAACAACACATTAGACAGCTGCCTGATCTCCAAAATATACAAAGAGCTCAAGAAATTGGACATCAAAAGAACAAATAATCCAATAAAAAATGGAGTATAGACCTAAACAGAGAACTCTCAATAGAGGAATTAAAATGACTGAAAGACACTTAAGGAAATGTTCAACATCCTTAGTCATCAGAGAAATGCAAATTAAAATAACTCTGAGATTCCTGCAAGAATGGCTAAGATCAAAATCACTGATGACAACTTATGCTGGAGGGTAAAGCGAACACTCCTGCATTGCTGTAAGACGTGGATAACTGAATCCACAGAAAGCCTGAGAAATCTTGGGAAAGAATAGAGTAAAGCATGGTTTCTTGGTAGCAGCAATTTCTCGGTTCTGCTCTGCTTGCTAGAGGCAAGCAAGGCTCTCATCTAAGAGAGGCTTCCTGACTCAGCTTTAGCTGCAAAACCTTGCAGCCCTTTTAAGAGGTCCTGCCACAAAACACTTAAACGGTGTTGATGAGAA